ATTTCAACTTGCAATCGTTCAAAGTTCGGGTTGCACCTTAAGCGATATTTCAATACTAATTTTTTACACTTTTTACCAAAAGGAAAACAAATTAGAAAACTGCCTGGATAAGCTTTGAAAATTGCTTATCATTACAAAAACCTATATATACCTAGATTCGATTATAATAAGGTAACTGGAAGAATTAGTGCGTTACTAAAATCCCATCATTCATTCGATAGTCGCTCTGTTTCATTTTTCAAAAGTCTTCTCCAAGCTTCGCATCCAATAAACTGAGGTACAAAATGAAGAAAAGACCTTATAAAACATGTTTAGGCGACACGAGAGATACATGTTATGTTCACGTACTTTACTTTTAGTTCTATTTAGCCCAAGGAAAGGCCAAGTGGGAACCGTGTAAGGTAGGTCGCCAAAAAACACTTTAACCAAGATAGGGACAGAAATAATTATACGATAATATCTGTTTAAGCCACTTGTCACTAAGCCAGATGCTGTAAATCAAGACTTCAGCGATGTCAAAATGTCTCCTCATCTCAAACGATCGCTCAGGATCGGCACAGTTTAAAAAAGAGGAGAAACGCTAGATTTGTGCAGAGGTCATTTGCAATTATAAACCCGTCGGCTGTCATTTAGCCTGAAATATTTGTTTAGCCTAACCCCTTAAATTTGATCTAAAAAGCAATACAAACGGACGACAGTTCAAAGAAAATTATTTAGCTTTCACATGGATATTTCTCGAGGATATTTCCTTACTGTGTTCAAACTTTAAGAACTGGTTCTGGCAAGATCTGGTAAGGTTGGAATCAACTTTGATTTTCGAGACACAAAGAATTGTAATTACCGTCTGAAGACAGGTCGCCATTATTAAATAAATTTATATTCTCACGGTAATTAATGAAATATCCTTATTAAGATTCGTTCCATGTATATATGTGAACGTTGCAAACGGAGTAATACAACCTTACCAACATAAAGGAATTAACTTTTGAGAAATTAAAGGAATCAAGCGGATCAAGATTCTATGGTGTTTCTTTTATTTTAAATTTTGAACTCGTATTTATACTACGTGCACGTATTTCTATACAGGCGCTTCTCATGCCTACTCATAGGTTTTACTAACGGAATGAAAAAGTTAGTACACCACCATCCTGTGGTGATTAAAAAAAAAAAAAAAAAAAAAAAAACTAAACTCAAACACTGGCAATGTAAACTATGTGTATGTGTACTCACGTTACTTATTATTCGTTTTAAAGCTTTTACAATTTTTTGAAAAAAAAAAATCATGTCTTTACATTGCATGCTCTTATTATTACTACAAAACAGCACAATAAAATCCAAGTTCAATTGCACTAAGCTATTGTAGAAGAGAAACAATGCAAAGAAAAATCATTTAAGTGAGAAGTGCAAACTGTTATGTTACTGTATGATTAACATACTATAACGGCCTTCAATATGTTAACAGAATGACCGCCAAACTGAATATAATGTTAAATCAAGCCCGCGCAGCCTTATCTATGTTAGCAGCAATGCTTTAAATGCTCTGAAAAGCTTTTTGTGTGCAACAGTTTGATAATGTTTATAATTGAAATATATCTGAAATAATAATTATATTAAATAATAAGCAAATAGAATATTAACACAAATTTATTCATTTGGAAATTTTATGCGTAGAAGTACATAACAGAAAAAGAGGAAAAGAAAGTTGCAAATGCAAGATTCAACATAGCATGAAGAATTTAAAACGGTAATCGCTTTAAACATGAAATATGGTAATTTTTCCACTTAAGAGTGCTCAAATTAACTGTTTATCGCGAACACCATAACGTAAATAGAAAGAAATTATATCTGACTTGTTGGCTTAAGAAATTTCCATGCTTGTTGCGAGGTACTCTTGCTTACTCCCCCGCTTTAAAACAAAAAAAAAAAAAAAAAAATATGGATAAATTTTCAATTTTCTCTTGGATTAGGTCCATTCACTTTAGAAAATAGCTAGAGCTCAGGCGAATAAGGTTCTCGCGAAACGACAGTTGATTGAATTGAATTTTATTTTGAAAAGATTGAAGTGACAACGCAAAAGCCTAGAGCTATCTATCCCTAATGCTGCTTAGTAAGTAGGTGTACGCAAGGGACGCATAACAAGGTTTTAAACAATATTACTTATTAGCACTTTGGCCTGCTGGTAAAAGCAATTCACAGTACAGTAGACAATATTAAGCAAAGGATATTTTTTTTCTTACTAATCAGCTATGCGAATTAGTCGCGTACGTATCACGCATAAGTTCTTTTTGTACATTTTCTACATTTAAAACTTGACTTTAACACTTTATTGTCGTTCATATTTCATTATACTTTAGTGGAAGATATCAAGTCAATTTTTTGATTCATTTCTTTACTAAAATGAATATTAATATTTCCACGGCAAATATTTATCGCCGCTACGGTAAATAGAATTAATAGAACACATATAGACTCGCCCGACTGCTTGTTGTAGTGTAAGTATGAATTTACACTATCTTTAAAACCTAAGCCGTTTTATTCATATCCAGCACCGAAGCATGCAGTCGTATTCATTTTGTCGAAACATCTGCAACACCTGAAGGAACCTTTAGAGAGCGTAAAGATCCTAAAGAAGAAAGATTTCTTCGAATCCTAAAGAAAGAAGAAAGCATCAGATTCCAAGTAGACTGAAATATATTTGTTCGTTCGTCCATTCGTCCGTTCGTCCGTATTGCTTATGGGAAATACTCTCCTCGGCGCAAAAATATTATAAGCGGGTTCAAAATTTCGTAAAAAAACAGACACGCTCGAGCTGAAAATTAGTCACATCGACCATGGGACACGCTTTTGGTACAACACGCAATCTGGGAATAACTTTATCTGTTTTTTGTTTTTCTTTCTTCTTACACATTAATTCCTGCATTATTTATACTCTTCCTTGACTAATTACATCGGATATATACGCAATGAGTGGTAGCAAAATTTTATATCTCAGTGAAATACAACGACACTGTAATGTCGTTTAATTTATTCTCCACTTTTTTCGATGCTTCTTGTGATTGTTCCTAACTTAAAATCTTTACAGGGCGGGGAATAGCGGCAGTTTTCCGAAAATAAATAAAGTAGACATGCAATGGCAAAGCGAGCTCAAGACTATATCCAAAAGAGCTTCATCAGTATTTTGCAAACTAAAAATTGCATTGGAAAGTAAAGTATAATATCAGAAGGGGATTTGGCTTTGAAAAGCATAAAAATAAATATTGAATATTATTAAGTAAGCACTTTCTGAGTAAATGCAAAATTCATGGTGCGTTTTATTCAAACCGCATTTGCAAAATCAATATTTCTCCATTTCCCAATACTAAAACGTTTACTCAATGTCCTCAAAAAGTTAATGTCAAAAAAAAAAAAAGAAAGAAAACATCGTGTAACAACAAAATTAAGCCTTCTCTTGACTTTTCTTTTGTTGATATTCTTTTAGAAATGCTTTTCTTTCCATAACCATCCGAGTTTTTTATTGCTTCATATTCAAATAATTCAGAGCGACTCAAGTAATTTAGTTACCATTGCTAAGATCAGCGCTTTTACTTCTAAAAAAAAAAAAAAATACAACGGATGGTTGAACATCAGTACATGTATTCATCTAAATCACAATTTCTTGGCAAGAAAAAGAAATTAAGTTTACTTCTGCTAAATCTTTTTATACTTTTTACCGATTTCTTCAAGTTTTTCATATTGTTAGCCACCTTCCCAGACTCTTCAAAGCTGTTTAAATCATAATTTCTCGTTCACCTCTTTCAAAGAAAGCTAAAACTCCACTACTTCGTACTACATCTATATGTCTACTTGGAGGTCTATGAAAATTTTTCTTCCGTTTCCAATCAACTCAATCTGCTAGCGTGTTCTTTAGTGACGTGAGCGGTTTTCAGTACACGCTCAAATATATTTGGCTGACAAGCATAATATTACAATCTACAAATTAATTGTTATTATTGTTTTATTCGAAATGAAGAAGTCTAAAACACTGTTTGAGACGTAAAATATAAATTTTGCTTTATAAACCAAAACAAAAAAGTCTTTATTTATAATTTATATTAAAATTGTCACCATGTACCGAAAACAGTACACGCGCAATCGTGTTAATCGTAAGCAATTTTAATTTATGAAGTGCATTAGACGCATTCTAGAGTGCTGTGTTTTCTAAGGTTCTATAGGTTAATTGCTGGTAACTATTTAAGAAGAAAATATTTAAAGGTTTTATTTTAATGCAATTTATGATGTTTCTTGTTAATATAGAATATTGAATTTCTTTTTCAAGTTGTATAAAATTTGTGAGCCCATTGCCGTTTCTACTGTTAGTTAATTACAATTCAATTAGAAAACAAAACGAAAGAAATGATGATGAAAACAACAAAATACCGCATACAACTCTACAAAACGATAATAACAAGTGCACTGTAATTACATATAAACAAACTAAAATAACTAAAATAATTTCTTATGATGTTTTGAAAAGAAAAGCCGTGATGTGTTGGTGATCATTAGATGAAAAAAAAAATGTTTTATTTAAATCAAAAAAATAATCCATATAAGAATACGAGTGATACAAATGCATATACATAGAAATATACATGAAAATAATGCTTTATGGTAATGAAATGTGAAAGCAGCTCTTAGATGAAATAAAATAAAATATTTCTTTTTAATTAGCATAAATGATATAAAATATTTTCTTGCAACAAAAAAAAAAAAAAGAAAAAAGACCGCTTGTTATAAAGGGCAATTTTACAATAATTTTTTAAAATAATTGAAAACTCTTTCGATTTGCAAGAAATGACAATTCACTGTTAAGCAAAATTGACGTAAAGTTTTTATAAAAAATTTGTATAGAATGAAGTTATTAAAAATATTATTCAAGTCGAGTACAAACTCGAGGAGACGGGCTATGAAACGGTTAATGGGCGCACACTGACAACTCTCATGTAGGTAAATGTGCAACTCACCTTTCAGTTGACCAACAACACCTTGGTTGAAAAACATTGAACCAGAGAGAGTGCGCAGAACAGATTCAAGACAACATATGTTATCGCGGCAAGTGTTAATGATTTCAGTCTAAAAACGGAAAAATTAGTTTTTAATAAAAACGAATGATTTTTTTTTTTTTTTATTTTTTCGAAGGAAAATACTTACGTAATCTTCCGGTCTTAAGAGGTGACAGCGTATCTTCAAAGCTCTTGTATCCTCCAAACGATCTTGGCTTTGTTGCAATAAATTGCGTATTTGCTTTTCATCATCGGTGTCGTCGTCCGATGATGAGGAAGTGGCCGGTTTTATCTTAATATTCTTCTCCAAATTGCGCGCTGAACGACGGCGTTCATCAACTTTACGTCGGCGTTGCGAAGTATCACTTTCCGAAGTGCGTCGCAACGATTGGGCTGAATGACTCATACCGAAGTCTAATTTACGTGACGCCGTATCCACCTTCTGATGATAAGTTACGCGTTCGATATATTTTGGAGTTAAAGTTTGAGTGGAAGTAGACAACACCAGTAAAGGGCTTTTCAATGTTTGCTGCTGCTGCGCTACCGTTTCTATATTAATAAAAATAATGAAATTCATTACAAAAATTGACTATTAAATAAGAAAAATGAAAAGAGAAATAAAGAATTCTTACCCTGGCAAGATTTGCGTCTTGTTTCTAGATTTTTACGACGTCTTTCACATTCCAATTCTAGAGCTCTTCGCCGTCTGGCATGATCCACACTACTGACAATAGTGTCTTGTGTTAAGATTTTCATCTCATTCTGCTGCAACGAATCCATACGTGGCGGTGAGAGTGAATCTAAATTATTTGCAGCCGACAATGAAGAGCAACAATCAGACTGTGAGTCTATGAAATTGCTGTAGAGCAAAAAAAAAGAAGAAAAGAAAATGAGAAAAAATTCTTTTTAATAAATTTCATGAATTTCATATAATGTGTATTCGTCGCTTACCGATAATCGTCACATTCCAATAAACGCCTTGCAGAATCCGAATCTACACCTTCCGAATAATTTTCCGAATTATATTTCTCTTGATAATTGTCCCAAGCAGTCTCCGAAAAGCTACTGTGATGATCTTCGGTGCCAGTAGTGTATTCTAAGAGAAGAGAATCCAAGCCAGTTATAAAAGAGATATGGGAAGGATGAGCAATTTCAACCTTAATTGATTGATGCTGAGGGTGTAAAAAATTATAATAAAAGTTCTCGGGCAACTGCAGCTGATAGACATGCATAGCGTATTCGTAGTGACATTTCAAATAAATAAATGAATAAAATAAATAAAAAAAAAAAAAGAGAAAAACCGACAAAAGCTGTTGAAAGTATTAAACGTTTGTCATATAGCGGTAACAAATTGAAATAAAGTTATCAAGCACGTCATAAACCACAACAAAACAGCATAGAATAGTGAATTCGATTTGGGCATGTTCGCCTGTCAGTTGTGTCAGTTGTTACATTCGATTTGAATAACGAGCTAAATAATTCGTTGTCAATTGAGATCAGAAAGCCGAAACTTGAGATTTATATATACAACGCAAATCAACAAAAAGTCGACTTTAATCAACCATCCCTAGCAGACCTTGAGCTAAAAGTTCGCGAAAATATTCCCTAAGCGATTAACTAAAACGTCCACAATCAACAAAAGCATTACACTTTCAAATTTTTATTTAATAGCCCGAAAAAGCCTTATCTTTATCTTCCTTAAACACTAATGGATGCTTTCAAGCGTTGCGTGCAGTTGTTTGGTTTTATACGTTTCTCTGGCGTTTCACATTTTACTTTGTTTTAATGTTATAATTTTGCATTATTTTCTCTAAGCTCAGTTATTCAAGGTGTATTCTCTATACCCTAAGGTTCTGGCCCGCCAATGGCAGGATCATTATAGCTACGGCTACATATCAATCGTAATTGAAGTGATGGACGAGTAGGTCGGCTTAGTAGAGTAGAAAGCGTATGAAGCTTTCGTATCCATTTTAGGACTTGTATTGTCTCTTTCGATAAAAAATGACTACATTTTGCCCTTCAATTTCCGATTGCAGTTCCGCCAGTCTTCTTTCTTTTCTTTTTTGCTGCATATGAAAGTTGAGTCACTTTTGTCTTCACTGGAAAAGCTTTTGTGACGAAAAATTTTAAAGGCGTTTTTGCAAATGTCTTTGGAAATCATTTTTCATCCACAATAGAAGAAAAAAGGAAAGTACGTTAGGAACGGTATTTGCTGCTTATCGAACGAGGTGATGTCACTCTCATAGCGAACACGAAACCATAAAAAATAAAAAATTTTCTTATCAAGGTTGTTTTACTTTCTTATGTCCTGGGGGCCTGGGTATTTGTGGTATCAGTCCAAAATCATTTTTTGACCTTGGATTCGTAATCGATCAAGAAATATTTATGCCAAACTCCATAAACAATACCATAAAAATTTTGGTGCGAATAGACAAATATGCGGAACATCGGTAAACGAAACTTAATGACTGCATCGACACTGATTAACTGACATAGTAAAAAGCAATAAATTGAAACGCTATACCTTGTTGATGTATTAATCACTTGCTACAATAGTAAGCGAATATTGAACGTGCTATTGATGAAATTCGATCGGATTTAGCAAAAAATAATGCTCGGAAATTGATTTCGTCGAGTTCTCTGTTCTGTAAGGGACGTCATGGTGATCTTTTAGGTGATTTCTTATTTCAAATTTAATTGGATCGAATATGGCTTCAAATACAGAAAAGAAAGAAAGAACTTTTCCCTCTACTTTTTTTCGAGTATAATGGGCCGAAAAGCCGCGGTAAGCGAAAATAAATATTTTGGATGATGTACGACAAGAAAGATAGAAATATGCTGAGTATATTTAAATGCTTGCAGTTTAAGGATGTTTGTATGCGCAAAGACGCGGACAGTTTGGAAACAATTCGAAATTTAAGTAAAGTAATCTATCAGTCGATGAAGGCAATAGAAAGGTAAAGTTGGGTTGTAGAAGCGGGATGCGAAAAAGAGTTCTTTGCTTATTATCGACGAAAAGGATTTCTGCACTAACAACTCTTGGTTTTGAGACTGTGACAAGAAAGAACTTTTCCGTCAATCTATTATACTGGTAAAGGTTATTCGTTTAGTCGCTGAACAACAGTTTTATCGCTTTATCGCAGAAAGACTTCTTACGTAGCCCATATTAGATACTTTTCAGTTTTTCGTGAATCAGTTTCGTCAGCGTTTCAATAACAATATGAAGTCAAAAAACCGTACACTTTATAAGATCGTAATTGATATTCTATCTGTGTACTATAAAGGGAACAAAAATTTGTTGTGTTGTTGGCCTTCACCTTTCTTAATGGGGACTATGAAGATGAAACTTTCGATTTAAATGTAAAAGTACTTAAGATATTCAATAATCAGTGATCGTTTACTTGATTAATGATAAGACGAGGGGAAAGTGATCGTTCAACCTGCAATTTGTACCCGTCGTTATCTTAAGTGTAATAGAACCGAAATTTCGATAATGAATATTAGAATTGAATTAGTTGTCACTGGACAAAATCAATTGCCATTGATTATAAAACAAAATTGTATTTAAAAGATAACTAGAAAATGATTAGATAATTGCATGCACCTATGAAGAGACAGAGCGAGAAATAGAGTGGAAGAGAGAGAGAGAGAGGGGGAAACAGTGGGAACATATGCAGTGGCCAGTTAAGATATAGATTCTTTTTTTAAATAAACATTTAAGGAATTAGGTTCATACAAGTTAATAACTAAATGAGAGAGCGCGTAGGGAGGGAGTTAATGTAACAAACTAAAATGCAATGAAGAACAGGCACTGACTGTGACCCTTATGCTATACACAACGGGGATAAATGATTGTGTTAAAGGAAGAAAAATGTTCAATGATAATTCTTTGGGTAATACATTTTAGGTACTATATGTAGGTAAAAAAAAAAAAAGAAAAAAAATGAAAGGAAAAGAATATCAATTAAGTTTTTGACTACCTTTGAAACTTCTGTTAATGACTGTTTCAAGAGAAACCGGTGTAAGAGCTTGAAATGCATTTTGTTAGAGATGTAAAATATTATTGATGTTAAAATCTTGATAAATAAAATCATCAAAGTTCCTTAGAGAATAACTTAATCTATATATATATATATATATATATATATATATGAGTTAATGAGTTCATTTTGACACACATTACATACACGCACCCAATCATATCATGTACGCAAACACACCCAACAATAACAGGAAAATATAACAAAGATTATAGAAATGTAAATAAATAATAGCAAAACACTTGGTAAAATATATGACTTCAGTGATATTAAGATAGAAAGAAAGCAATGATTAATCTAAACATTTACCTCCCTGCTGCTCCTCTTCGTTCATATACGTAGATAAAGCAGCCAGCGAGCCCAGATGCGTTTGATAGGCGTTAGTCAGGGAACCGATTTGGAAGTTTGGTCTCATTAAATTCGTCTCTTCTTCAATTTCATTCCCGGTGTTGGATGAAAATTTCGACGTTTGTCTGGCTGGTATAGCCGTTCCATACGCGATATTATTATTTTTCGTTACCGAATCGTTAGAGCCAGTTTTCTGTAGGCTTTTCAGAGTTTGCGTAATCTCTTGCCATTGCTGTGGCGACATAGTTTGGGCTAATTTTGGAAAATCTGGTCCAAAATCCTCGGAGCCCGTATCGGATTTTTTGCCACCCGAATAAGATAAACGCTTCTTGCGCGTCTTGCGACGTTTCAAGGAGCCTTTGCTATCGTAAACTTTCACATGACCCACTTGAGTAGCGGATGAAGACGTACGGGGACGTCCTGGTGATAAAGAATCTAAAGCTGATTCACTAATTGAATGTGAGGCTAAACCGGCTTGAACATTCGAAATGGTTGCCTTCTTACTGCGCACTAATTGCCCATTATCGGTAGTAGTCAATTGCGATAAGCAAGATACCGACCAAGGACGATCGGACTTACGACGCGATTGTTGACGTTTTATAACCTTAACGTTTAAACTTTGATTGCTATTACCTACGATGGGCTCAGCGGAGCCACCAATGCGTTCGGTAGAATTGCCGTAGGAATTAGTGCTAGTCTGCATGCAAGTGGCTATAGAATCAGTGAAGCCTTCAGATGTATCTGAGCATTGTTGCGGTATAGAATCGGTTTCAGAGGCTTCGCCAGAAGCCTCGCAATCGTCGGTACGTGTCGAACTAACCGCAATACTAATTGTGGGAGAACCTGATGTTGTAGTTGCAATTAATAAATCGTGACCACTTGCTGTTGTTGTGCGTTGTAATTGCAGACTGGCGTTAGGCTGATGTTCAAGCCATTCCTGGTAAAAATTGAAGAAAAAAGGAAATAATTTTTAAAAATTCTTAATGTTTTTTTTTCGAAATATTTTAAAGAAATAACAAACCTGCACTCTTTGCTTTATAGGTCCCGGCATAATAACTTCGCGTTTCTTGATGGTGGTTGAAATTTGTATCAGTGCGCTATTGTTGTTGGAATGCTTTTGTTTGGTTGGTGTTTTCAAAGCTTCGTCACGTACTAAATGCTCTGCTTCAAGTACCAACTGTTTGATGGATTCATGCGATACTTTACTCTGCTTTTTGTTGTTTTCATTTATATTCGTGCAAGCAAGTGAGCGGATTTTGCATTTTATTGCGTATATTGTTAAGAGAGGGAAAAATGAAAATAAAATAGAGGAAAAAAGTAAATAAAATTTAAATGATAATCAAAAAAATTTCAATAAATAAATAAAACAAACGCAACGTGTATGAAAAAAAAAAAAATAAAAAAAGTTTCAATTCTACGACTTACTTAAACACTTACTTAGCAGAATACACTCTACACATGTTTCTTTTGTAAAGATGGTAAGTGGAACTTATTAACTATTAAAAAGAATCCTAAAGCGCTGGAAATGCGAACTGTGTACTCTATGCTCCTTAATGTTGAACAGTGCTATTTATTTGAAATTTTTAATATCTTCTTATAAAATTCATTATATCTCTTATCTTAAACCGTCAATTTTAATCAGGTATATATTAGTATTTTAACTGATACCGAGTTGCTGAAGTCGTTCAAGTTTTTGTGTCTCTCTGCGTACACTTCTTCAGGTACTTTGATTATATTTACATTTCTTCGTTACTTTAATTGTTTGCTCATTTTATTTATTTATTTATTTATTTATTTATATTCATTTTATTTCATTATTCAGTTAATGCTCGCATAGACACGCACACTTACATACGCAAATGAATAGTTACAAAAGAAATGTTTTTACATGTAATTCGGAATGCATTTGATTTATCAGTCATGCCATAAGTGTTGGTATATATTATTTTGTTGCTCTCTTTCTCTTACACACACACACACACACACACACACACACACACACACACACACACGCACATACATCAACATACACAAACACAAACACCTATATATATATACATATAAATTTATCGTCAAATTACTTTGCTTTATAATGCCGTATCATCAAAATGTTAGTCTTGCTGCATATATAGCCGCAACAATACTGGCTTGTTGTTGCCGTCATTTTTGCCGGTTATCAAAGTGAAGTGAAAAGTGAATAAATTAATTTTTCATTTGCTAGACAACACTACTGAGAAAGAGAGATTAGCGCGTTCATATACTAATCTCTACAGATGAGAAATTACGTTTACATATATGTATATTCATATATAATGAAAAAACAATGCAAAGCAGATAACACAGAAAATACGTTAAAAGCTTCTCTTATTGAAATTTCTTTGCTAACAACAATAATAATAATAAAAAAGAAAAACAAAAAAAAAATTAGAGAAATTCTTGGATTCATTAACATTTCTTTACATTTAAGATATTTGCGAATTCAATTAAATTTTTTGCAGGCCTTTCAATAATCCGACGCTTTTAGAAAAGCCCACTTGTCACGCTCACTTTCAATAACCTCTTCCGACGCATTTCGGTGCAGTAGTTTTTCGCCTACATGTTTTTCCACAGAAGACGATACCAAAATACGGCGTAAACTTCAACAGAATTACATGGGAATCAATCACGGAGCCAAATAAATACAAAATGTGTTTTAAATGTTCTTTGTTAGTTCAAAAGATTGATTGCTAACAGATGTGCATCGTTCAACACTGAACGTTTAAGCAGTTCTAATATATATATATATACATATATATATGATGATACTTTGAAATCTTGAATCGGATTTGTTCATTTCAAAATTACGCGAACAAAGCACTCGAAAAAATCTGAGAAGTGCTAGTTGATGGATTTATTTTTAACCGGCTTTGTATGATTTGAAAACAAATTACATCAATTGAGAAAGCGCTTAAAAATTATGTGATTGCCTTTAAAGAGTCAAACTCTAAATAACTTTTTGTTCTATATCGGTTCTTAATATTTTGACTTAAATTTATATATCGTCTTTGTTTATTGTCCTTATACTTTGTAAATAAATTAACTCAGATCATATGTTCGCCTGTATTGAAAACTCTACCGAACATGAGATTTGAACCGGATCATTGAGTTGTTAGTCGCTATCCTTCGCTTAGTCCGATACTCATGTGAGAGATTTTGACTGAGATTTTGGGCATGAAACGAATCGTTGCACACGACCTCAATTTTGTTCATCGTTATGTAAGGGAGACTTTTTGGCAGGAGACTACATCCAAATAAATGGATAAGCACGTTGTACTCCTGCTATGCGGCTACGGCGCCCCAAGTCGTTTTTTTTGGTTTTTCGATAAAAAAATACTTCCCCTTAATTTAATTCATTTAACTTAAAAAAATTCTATGAACTTAAGAAAAGATAATCTTCGTGCCGTAGATTGGACACTTACATGCTAGATTGTATAGAATTTGATATTGCTGTCAATCATTTACGTACGTACGTACAGTCAAATAGAAGAATTGAATTTTGTAAATACAATAAATATAAAAAAGAAATTCATTAAACATTGTGTTAATTGAATAAAAATAATTTTAAACACAATGTAATTAGAGCAAAAACTCGCCGACAATCGGAACTAGATCTGTAGTTTGAAACTTTAACCCAGTTATTTATAAACCGAATTATGAATAGATTTTATATGTTGTTGGAAAAAACATGGGAAAGTATTCTTTAAGTAAGAACGTTATAGTCGGGCAAGGCCGACCATGATTTCATGATAAAGTACCAATAACTATATTTCGTTTCAATGTTTTTTTTTTTTTTTTTGTGGAAGCTGTTACATCGGAGAGGGTCCGAAACGTTATAGCTGACATGGTCCAAATTTTTCAGCATTAATTTTCTTGTCAAAGGTCATCACAAAGCACTAAAAACTAGACTGGTCTTGCCACTTTGCATAATTACCCTTATACGGGGTGGGGAATAATAAAAAATAGATCTACATGATCCAAATTTGGTCAACCAAATCAAACTACTTTTATGAACTAATATTAAAAGAGAAAGGCTTTTGTCATAGGACGACTTATATAGAGAAAAGATATACATAATCTAAATGATATATGATTCATATAATATCGACCAAATCTCACTATGGACGAATATTACAAACTAGACCGCTTTGCCATACAAAGGCTTACCTTTCGGTAAATTTCAGTTATATGAGTGGCGGTTCAAAACATCGACGCATTTGATCCAAATTTCTCATACGTCAAAGCAATACGCCGAAAAACGATCACTCAGAGATTTTTGTCGAGAAATTCAAAAACTTGCACTTTTTTTTTAAATAACGCACTACATGGGGAGTGGTCATAAAAATGATCGTCCAATAATCTTAGAAATTTTCAACAAAATACAAAATACGTGGACAGACATCAGACGGATGGTTCTGAATCGATCAGTTTAATAAAGGTTGATCTATCTTAAGTCGTTCTCCTTAACAAAATCCTATAGCACAAGTGGGGTGGTAGGGTATAAAAGCCAAAACCAAATAATTGTTTTAAGTCACTTGTCAGTGGTTATCAATCAAAATGATTTTCGTTTGAAATATCAAATCAACACTTGTTACAATGTAAAGGCATACGAGGTATAAGTTAGTTGAATTTTTCAGGACTACTTTGGGAGCTTAGCTGTAAGCGAATTATTGACTACATTAGCTTACTCTGCATGAAAATTAAGTGGGAATAGTGAAAAAGATTTTTCTTTGCAGCCACCTAGCGACATAATCGTTTTCAAGAACTCGACTCCTTCGCGATTTTCATAGCATGCTATACCATCTTCTTAGAACCATAGATCGATGATCAATAAACTTTCTTGATCCCTCATTTCTTACATTTTTGGATTGCTATGCTTCTTATTAATTAATTTTCTTCATAAGTTCTTATACATTGGTGATTGAAAGTGAAATTTATGGTTCTTTTACTAATCTCGTTAAAGTCTATACTCTTCCATGGTTAAGCGATAAATTCTGAAGTTAAAGAACTTTCAAACAAGAGTAACTGTATTATTTTAACAAAAGTAGTCCAAAAAAGACTCGTAGATAAATATAAAAATTTTAGGTTCATCACCGTTTTCGTGACAGAAAGGGGGACAAGCGGAAAAAACATTCTGATGATCAGTTCATTTAGAAATTTCAAATCGTTTAATCCTGTAAATTTAAAATTATTGTATCAGAAACTTTAACATAAACGGATAAGGATTCAGAACCATTTTCTGAATCCATCTAAGCCGATCTGTCCGTCTGTCTATCTATCTATCTGATGTCTGTTCATGTAAATTTGTGTTCAAGCTACAGATCGCAATTTTTTGATATATTTTGATGACTTGCTTTGGCGTTTTCGATCATTCCCCGTATAACGCCCTATTCTGAAAAGTCGTTAAATCGAAAAAAAAGCAATTTTCGAATTTTCTCCACTTAAGTGTGTAAGTAATAGTATTTCGGCCTTTTAAGTTGGCGTGCAAGTTTTCACCTGGCCGGGGCAAATTTTTGAACTCCCTCTGATATAACCGTTTCTACGAACAGTGAATCTTTATATTGTAAAAACGACGAATTGTGTATGTTTCATGGTGAAAATTGGCTTATAATAGTAAATTGGCAAAGACATTAACCTTACCGAATTTGGACTACGTAAATCTATGCTTTGGATGCTACCGTGCTCTCATGAAATGTAAACTCTTATATATTCAATATAACAAGTCGTATATATTTAATATAAGAAGTAAGTGGACCTAATTTGTATCAGATTGGTCTATTTCTTGGCCGTGCTCCACATAAGATATCTCATGAGTAGTAAGCCCTTCGGAAAACGGCTTCATTTTTAATACTTTATAAAGAAAATTAGTTCATAGTAGCGATTGACCAAAAAAATTGATGGTAGGAAATTTGGATAACATAGGTCTATTTTTTGGATCCTGACATATATAGACGTTATCACGAAAAGCAAGCTCTTATAGGAAGAGTAAGTTTAAACTTCCAGTATGCAGGCCTTCGTGGAAATTATGGCTTTGCATGAAAATAATGGGTACATTTTGGAGTATTATTACTCAAAATGCGTGAATAACTGTACTAGGCGAAGTGGGGTAAGTAAGGAGAGAAGCGGCCGCAGTCAGAGTGTGCCCAATCGGTAAGTGTCATGACTTTATCGACT